ATGAAATGAAATCCATTATCTCACTTCTGCATATTATTGTGAACAACAGTCCCAGGAAGTAGACAATTTGCTTTCATCTCTTGCATGTTTGTGTTTAACAGAAGCATGCTACTCATTAATCAAGTATTAAGTGATTGATATTTTACTGGGCAAAAGCTCTAAATGAAAGCAGAAAAAACTAAGGTGGAACTGCAGAAATCAAAACAAGATACTAGTTATGTTATTATTATGTTATTAATTACTAGTTTTGTTAACTGATTGTGATTACTACAAATTCATGCAACACTGGAAAATATTGAGCAGGTAAGTCAGTTTGAACAGGCACATTTCACTAATGTTCCCATACCTCTTCCATACTTAAATAAACAATGCCCTCAAAATTGGCCAAGAATGTTCATAGAAAATAAATACAGTCAAATTGAAATGATGATAATTATTGAAATAATCAATTTATTTTTTAAATTGTTTGATACTTTGAAGCAAGATTGACGACACTGTACCGTGAATAACTAAAATAAAATGTGACATACTTTTAATAATCAATGTGATCATTATCCAATCTACTGCCTATTTGTCTCCAATTGGATTCTTTTTCTTTATCTGCAGTCTGCTCTCATTAATATTTGTTGATTTTTGACCCAAGAAAGACAATTCATTACAAAGACTAAAAACTTTAGTCTCAGAACACACTCACATGTTAAGTCCTCTTTCTTAGAGAATATCAGCTAAAACTAATACTGAACACATTGAAGGTCTTTCTCGGGCATGCCTCACTGCCACAGAACACCTAGCTTAGGAGTGGTCCGAGGCTGCGGAGTAACGCAAGAGCCACTCACCACTCAGGTTTTTAAAGAGGCTCTGATTGAATTACGCAAGCGAGGACCCTTCAGCAACAAAACTGACTTTCTCCCAGGTCCTCAGCCTTCAAATCTATTTCATAGGATCAAGTCCAGATACCATTCCTCCAAAAAAGAAAAAAGAATCAGTGGCAACCAATAAAGTTCATTAATCAGGCAACAGCATCTGACGAAGTAGAGAAAAGACAGAACGGAAGAGTTAGCAAGTCAGTAGAAGCAGAAGTGTGATGTTTATGTTGCCATTAGGGGAAGTTTTAAACCAGGGCTATTTTTCAAATTTCATTGGGGAGTAAAATAATCCTATTCCATGATTTTATTCCTCTCCATTAGCAGTATTAGAGAATTTTGTCATCGCACTCATTAACATTAAATTCAGATTTTATGAAATGCTCCCACTATGGAAGTAAAACCTAAAAGGCTGATGACTTGTGATAAGTTCTAGACCTCTCTTGTACAATCACACTCACTCTTCTGGAATTCATTCAGATGCGAGTGTAAAAATAGGAAGATTTAAAACTATTCCTATTTGCATTCATGAATCCCCAGATGAGGCCGCGCCAGAACAGAAGCCCCTAGCTGTGATTTTACTTCATTCCGAAGCTTGCAGACACATGAAGGTCCGCACTGCGTGACTACAGTGGGCTTGGTTTGCCCACACATGCAGCAGGGATGAGGGACAGACATCGCAAGGCGCTTAACTCCTAGGGGATGAGTTCCAACTACGTGAATGATTCCTAAGCGCTACCTACCCCAAGCATTCCTTCTCATTTTTCTTCCACTTTAGTTCATCATCCTCATCACCTTTGAGATGGTGGGAGAGCTGCTCATTCCCGCAAAAGTTGCAAAGTTGTGCACAAGAGGCTTAATGATTTTTGCAGGCTGGTCTTAGCTTCCCCCCATCGCGGTTACCAAGTCACAAAGCATGTGGATAAGAGGGATCTGGGAAAATTGGTTAAATCCCCTGGGTCTCTGCTATTTGTCTGAATTCATAAAATGGTTGGGAATGGAATGTATGATCTCCAAACTCTCTGCTAAGCCCTACAAACACCCTCTGACTCCAACATAAGCCATTTTGACAGATATTGGAATGTTGGGGGCGTGCTAATCACTCTCAACGCTGCACAAGGACACTAGTGTATAAATGCAGGAAGCAAGAAAAACATCAAGGTAATTTCTTATTTTCAGAGTAAGGCAAAGATGTTCATGGATTTCACATCTCTAATATTTACTCCATCCATGTGTGGTAATGTAAGGGGTGTAAGGTTAGAACTAGCCACTGAGTGGTAGCACTGGTAGGATGAAGTTCACTTATTGTCTTTAAATTTTCATCTATTATCTATAATACCTGGAATTCAATGCAAAAAGACCTAGTCTACACTCACCTACTTTATCATGTGATGGTTTTGATCTTAGGCACGTAAGAGAATTCTGCAAAGTTTTAGCCTATGCAGATAAAACAAAATATCATAGCAAAACTTCATAGGCTACATGACAAAGATAAATTTCTTTCAATTGAAGCTTATCATAAATTCATGAGATAATCATAGAGTGTGTCACTGTCGCACATTTCATGCCAAGGAGCATGCCATTCACCCACCACGTAGGGACACAAAGGGTTGGTGCCTCCATCCTATGGAGGAAGAATGTTCCATTTCTCCTGAATTTGTCATCAAAAAGTGAATGACTTGAATGACTTCTAGAGATGATTTAATTACATGCATGGAATCTTTATCTTTTAGCACAAATAAAAATAATAAAAATGTTTCTATTGATATATGCACATTAGGACATAATTCATCTTTTCCTAGGTACGTAAACTATTAAAGACTCACTGTTCTTCAACCCATTTTAGGGTTGAAAGGGGCCTTAAAAATTAGGCAGCCCATCCCCCTACCCAACATAGATGACTCCACACCATTCGCAGCTAATCAGCCCTCCATCCAGAGTCTATCTTTTATGGAAATCCACTAAAGTTTGAAATACAACAGATCCTATGAGGTAGACAGACATTTTCCTCTAGAGTGTACTCAAATGTTTTCCTATAATTCACCTGAAAAACACTAATCTTACCTTTCAGATATTAATCCACATCATTCAACATCAGTTATCACATTTTGAATTGAAAAACTTCTACTATAGACATCTCTGCCCCTCTGACCTTTTCTCAGGATACTAGATGCTTCTGCTTCCTGGTCAACTTCTACCAATTGATTACTCTCCTCACTGATGACAGCTAGACAAGAACGCTGGGTTGGCTGGGACAGAGAGAGACCACAGGGAAGGATGAGTGATGAGGTGATCACACACATACTCTGAGCCTGGGTGACTGGGGTGGAGGAGCTTAGAGAGCAGAAGAAAGGTAGAAGACGTGCCACATAAGGTCAAGGAGGGGAACACGTGGCATATTCTATGGGATTTGAGGAGAGGTGGATAAAAGGGCTTTTATCAGATGTGACTCTGCAGTGTCGGGAGGAGGGGCGAACCATAAGGGGTAACTGTGCAGCTCTTTGGACTTATTATAGCCCCAGGCCGTGTGATTTGCATTTTGACCAGAACAGCTTCCCACAAGGCTATCTTCTTTGGGTTGTTCACTGGACATTCCATAATAGAAACTAAGTAAGATATTTTTCTCTATCATTTAAAAACGTTTGGCTTATACTGAGTTTGAAAAAAAAATAAAACCTTAGAGAGAGTAAGGGACCAGAGTTTTCTATCTTATTGTTTTCTATCTTATTGTTTTTCACCTGAGATTTGAAACATAAGACTATATGTTTTAATTTATCCCTATTACACTTATGGTATAATTTTGATCCAAATTGCAGATTTGTGATATTTTTAAAAACTTGGGTATATGATTGAACATATTAGCTTGCTCCTCCATAGCTGTATCTGTTAAATTAGATGGTTCTCATGAGGTATGTTATTATCAAGAAGATAAGAATGTTGAATCAAGTACCTTTTAAGCCCTCACCACAGGCAGGAATTACTGCATAGGAGGAGCAATCAGCACTAAGATGCTGTATTGTGAAAACACTAAATGTTCTACTGTGTAACCTGAATTTCCTCCTATTCCAGTCAAGAAAATCAGGATTTGTTTTGGACCAAATACCTCGCTGAAATAAAGCCACACTACATTTTGATCAGCTACTGAAATGAAAGCATAATAGCATGCTGTTTAAATCTGCAACAGTGCTGGGCGAGATATTTAACACACTCAACAACGGTATCAAGATTTAGAAAGACTGAGTGACATTGAGTCCGACAGTGCCCTTGAAACCCAGCTGGGTAATTAGAGGGGAACTTAAAGCCAAAACTTTTTGTTCATGATAAAAAAGAATTTCCTAATACTTTTAGCATTTGTGAATTGAAAAAAAAAAAAACATTGAATGTTGTGTCTATAATTAAGAAATCCTTGAAATTTCAAAAACATTACATTGTCTCTATTCAAAATGTCTAACTTCAAAATACAAGGTCCTGAAAGCTGAATTTCTCAGGGTTACTTTTCATTGGTATAAATTTATTAAACATGAATTATTCAGGGTTTTTAGAGAACATTCCAAATATATCTATTAATATGAGTCATTATTTGTTAGAACATAAGTTTCTGAAATTGCTGGGCTTTGCATATATCTCTGCATATCACCCTTCGTGGCATTTTAAATGTTTTCTGAATTTTTTTCGGTTGACTCTCTTCCCAAACATCTCTCTTAGCCAACTGTAATTGGAACTCTGCAGGCACAGAGCTATTTGAAATAAATAGAACTGCAAGAGAAACTTAAAAAAGAAAACCTACCAAATACCTTCATGCAGCTTTTTAAGATTGAAACTCAAACTTCATCACAAGCTGCTGCCTCAGTTCCCAAAGCTTGGTGAGAGCTAACCCAAAACCAAAGTCAACAGCATCCGGCTGAACAGGGGGCCCTGTCTTAGATTCCCAGGCATGTGCAGGAATCAGGAATCAAAACATGTTGGTAAATCTCTGCTGTGGCTGGATCCCCATGAAGGAAGGAAGCTGGGGGCTGCTAACACTGATTAGGGAGCACCCAGCTGTGCTCAGCCAGCATGAAGAAAACACATTAAGGGCTTATGAGTCGTGCAGCTCATGACACATTTGAAGGACACGGTCAAGGCAGAGAATCTTACGTTCTTGAAAGGATGTGAAGAGCATCTGGAAGCGGCTGTTGCGGCTGCCCTCGTCGGCCCAGAGCCGGATGACGCCCAGCCCGGTGCGCAGCATCACGTCATTGGCCACGGTGCTGCAGAACTTGGCCTTCAAGTCCTCCACCGAGCTGCTGCCGTCGTACACCGCCACGAAGTTCCTTTTGCACTCGTTGGAATTCTGCATCTCGTAGTCCAGGAATCGCAAGTAGATCTGCAAGACCACACAGGCCATCAGGTCCCGCTCCCACAGGAAAGCAGTTCAGAACCAGGCGGAGCCTCCCTGCTCTTTCTCATGCTCACAAACCAGTCTTGATTGCAATCAATCTTATTATTCCCCCTGCGGATGGCAGGAGGTAGAGATGTATGACTAAGAGCAAGTCGTGATCCATCTTTTTTTCAGATGTTATTATCCTTACTCTACGCAAATGTACCATTTTCCCTTGGCTATTTTTACCCAAATGATCCTTATTCCTTCTCAGAATGTACTTGAAACCAACTATGACTTTTCCTGTTTCTACGGTATTTTAGGTTGATCAGCACAAACACTCCCCATCCATTCCCAACGTCTTCCGTTTACTTCTGGAAAGTATGGAAAAATAAGTTGTATCCACACCGAAGGAAACCAGAATGGTGTCTAAAGATAGTCTCTGATATTACTCTGCTTCATTTTTGAGGAGGAACATATTTTTTCAAAAGGCAGAAGCAATCTATGATCGCCCTTACATGAGTCATTTGTTTAACTCCACATAAATAAAAATGAACACTTAATGAATTAAAAGCACTGCAAACCTACTTTACAGGTGGCTTTGAAATACTTTCCATGGCCCTACAAAGTTTTCTTGTCACCTTTGGATAAGAAACTCAGTCTCGGGGCCTCCCTCGTGGCACAAGGGGTTAAGACGCAACCTATGAAGCTGTCCGCAGCCACTGCAGCACGAGTTCGATCCCGGGCCAGGAAGCAACCCACATGGCACGACAGACCTGTCCTGTCTCACCCGCTGCTCCCCTCAGCAGTGGATTTCAGTCAGTCTGCCTGTTCTGCTCCCCACTCTGTCTCTGGTGAATCCTCTTGCCCCCCACACCTCTGGCCTGTACCCCAGCTCTTGCATGCATAAATAAATAAATCTTTTAAAAAAATAAAAGCTCAGTCTCAGGGGTTACAGAGGGGAAACAGGACAGAGGCCTCCCACTCCCAAGCTCACACTGCCTCTGCAACGTGCTGCTGTCTCGGTCCGTTTTATGCCAAGCAGATCGCTCTTGACTCTGTATCAACACACTGAATGAGATGAGTCAACCAGAGCAAGGCCCAAAGAGAAGCGGCTCATCCATTTAGCCATCAGTGCTACCCGGGCCGGACACTCGTGAAGGCTGTTTAGAGGGTGAGGCTGAGAGCAGGGGCCCTGAGGCGAGGGACTGGCAGGCTGTGGCCGGAGGAAGCACTAGCCCTCTGCTCCAGGGGGGCGTCTGGGATGGAGCCGGCCTTCTCCATGCTTGACACGCTTTCATGTGAACTTCTACAGCCTCTGCCTCTTACCCAGCCCTCGGTAAAGTAACAGGTATAGACTCGGGATGTGCATTCCAATGAAATATTCATCTCTCATCTCTCTATACTCGTTTGTCTTCATTTATTTTATAAATTGTGATCTCACAAGATATATTTCCCCCAGCTCCAGTACATCTGCCCCAAATTAAAAAATCTCAATATTTCGGGGCCTCCCCTGTGGTGCAAGGGGTTAAGCACCGCACTATGAAGCAATCCACAGCCTCTGCAGCACAAGTTCAATCCCCAGCCGGCCAGGGAGCTACCCACATGGCGCAGCAGACCTCTCCTGTCTCCCTGCTGCTCCCCTCAGCAGTGGATTTCAGTCAGTCTGCCTGTTCTGCTCCCCACTCTGTCTCTGGTGAATCCTCTCACCCCCACATCTCTGGCCTATACCCCAGCTCTTGTATGCATAAATAAATAAATCTTCTTTTTAAAAAAATCTCAATATTTCAATTAAAAGAAATTTCTTATGCCCTGCATGTTCTCACTGAATCAGACACTGGTCCTTGTTAACTCCACCTTCACAGCATTTTCTCTGTCTCCACTCCCAGGCCCACACCTCTCAGTGTTCCCCCCTGGCCTGCCTGATCCCAAGGTCTGAGCTTTTCAGTCTCTCCCACCCCGCCAAGTGCAAGCCAGTCAGTTACATTTCTAAGACAGGACTATCTTTACTAAAATCTTTAACTGGCTTCCTAACTGTTATGATAAAAATGTTTAAAACCTGAAAACAGACAAATGTGTGCTCCGTCCCATCCCCAAACATCGCACAGCTAATCTGAGGCCCGCCGTGGCTCACGTACATGATAGCTCGGCAGGAAAAGCTCATCCTCCATTTTCTTCCTTCCATCTTCCTGTGACTTTTCAAGGTCTGTTTCAGTTCCCTGCACAAGGCAGATGGCCCAGGCCCCCAGCCCCCACCACGGCAGAATGTTCCCCGCACCCTCCCGATGAAAATGTTCTGATGAGCACATGTTTAGCGTTCGTGCAGGTTACATGCACTTACGCTACGCTGAATGTTCCTGAAAAGCCACAGCAGCAGATTCTTTTCATAATGTCAGCATTAAGCCCCGTGTTCATGTATTAGCGGCTCCACAGAAGTGTGAGTGGGTGAGGCCTCAAATGACTGATGGGAAATTGTTCTGCTTAATTTCATTTGTTCAGCTCCCATCAAATCTTTAGTAGGCACCTCTATGCTGGATTTTGTTTTTGGTGCTATAAATAATGACCGTTATATAGAATAACTGACATTTTCTTACTTGCAGTGGGAAATGATATGCAATAATTCTCACAACAAGGTATTTATAATATGACTGTAAACTATGACAAAGGGGCATAGCCAGGCCTGTTGCAGACATGCAAGGCACTGACTGAAAATAAAATGTGAAGTCCCCACTCAGGAAATGCCATAACTTGAGGAGGAGGGACAGCAGCAGAGACCAAGAGGAAGCGGACGCAGCTGAGAAGCCATGGGAAGTGTGTGGTGTTATGACGCCTTGTGTGCTGAGCAGCTTTTCCTAAGTAAGCAATCTGGAAGCCTTCCTAAAATTTCCAAGTCCTTTGATGCTATCTTTAAATTAACTGCCATAATCCAGCCTTGAAGAACACAAGACATTAAGAAAGCCCACATGGTCTGCATTCTAAGGGGACTGCATTATTATATTCTATTGAAAGTGCAAATATTACACACTGAGTCCATCTGTGATCTACTTTTCCCAACAAAGTATCACATTCTTGAAAACTATCCAGGAAATTCCCCAAATGGCTACTTGAAGACACATCTGACAGTGTTAATCCTACCATATTTTCACTGACTAGTTTCACTGACTGATTTGTTTTTCAAATTTCCCGGTGATTCGTAAAATGGCAGGCAGCTTTCAGACGACCTTTACGGAGAGCTGGAAGAAAGGAGATAAAAGAGCTGGCTCAAAGAAAATGAGCAAACCGATGGGGTCCCTTAATGGGGTTCAATGCCTGATCCTTGGTCTAAGGCTTTTCTCACTACACCACATGGTGCCCCACCCAAGTTTAAATAAACAAATGAAAACACTATAAAAATATATTGGGTTGGGTCTCCCTAGTGGCGCAAGGGGTTAAGTTCAGTGCTGTGAAGCTGTCTGCAGCCTCTGCAGCACGAGTTCAATCCCTGGCCGGCCAGGGAGCAACCCACAGGGTGCAGCAGACCTCTCCTGTCTCGCCCGCTGCTCCCCCAGCAGTGTATTTTTAGTCAGTCTGCCTGCTCTGTTCCCCACTCTGTCTCTGGTGGATCCTCTCACCCCCCACATCTGTACCCCAGTTCTTATATGTATAAATAAATAAATCTTTAAAAAAATAATATTGGGTTGTTGGAAAAGTCATGACACATTTTTGCATGGAAAACAGAAAAAATATGTCATGAGCTTTCGACAACCCTATAAATACCTATACAGTCTCAGTAGTCTTATGAGGTAATAAACTTGTTAAAAACAACAAATCTGCCATTGGTGTTTATATTTTCAAATCCTATGCAGTAACTCTAGCACACAACTACAATGGTAAAAATACATATTAACCAACTAGAAAGCTGATGAGGGCAAGTGAAAAGATTCTTTTTGAGGAAATAAAGTAACTCTTGCCTCCAATGTTCTTCTGAGGTGATAAAAATTAATCACTCTGCCCCAGGAAAAAATATTTCATTGAAGTAAAATCGTGACTAATCCAAGAAAGATAATCAATAGCTTGACATGTTCAGTGTCTAAGAGATTTGAACAATTATTTCAAGTTTCTTCTTACTCTGCATGAACAAACACAACTTCAAATGGGAATTTATTACTTGCATTGTATACTGGCTATAAGGAGAGGAGCCTGCTAATACATTTGAGCTTTGGAAACACTAAATCACTTTCTCAATGTGACCCAGCCCCTTAAGGTGCAGGTGGGTGTTGAACAAAGGTATGCCTGCAACAACGTCGCTCCTAATTATCATACTATGGACATTTAAAAAAATTCTCATGGACTTATATTCCACAAAGAAAGTTCAGATCTTAAAGAAAGAAAACTACAACAAAACAAAAAATTAAGTAACACACCAACTGGAACCATGTCCATCTTCCCCATGGGACTAGGAATGGGGTCAACCATCTGGACATCAATGAGTCGCGGTGAATAAATGTGCTCCGGTCTTACATCTCCTTTACACAGAGGGTCACTGTGGAAGAGGGTCACTGCGACAGCTCCCCAGACCTTGTGCACACCTAATCTGTGTTTTTCACTTGCTTCCGGAGAGTCCATGTTGTCCACAGGCGGTGGCTGATTCGCATCCTTACATGCAGTGCACGAACTAGAGTCTGTTCAATGTGTCTGGGTCTTTCTTATAAGACAGAAGCCTCTTTAGAGAGCAAATGAACAATAAATGTCACTAGATTTTGTAATATTCATTTCTGAAACATTCAATTATTTAAAAAAAAAACATGTTTTCAATTTTCTGAGGAAAAAAATGGTCACCTACACCAATGGTTTTTGTTTCAGTGGGAACAGAGCTCTACTATAAAGTCAAATTCCATTGGCCAGAAAAGTGGGTGATGTTTTACCCCATTAACAGGAGCTGTATGTGGGATCATATAAAAGGCCCCAGGTCATGATGATTTAAGTATCTGTCTCGCCAACTTAAAAGTTGGCCATAAGATCACCAAGAAGAAGATCTGCCATATGACGATGGTTTTATTTAAGGGAGAAAACTGGAGTGTTTTAGTCTCTCTGCAGAAGAGAAAATGATAAACAGAACAATATATAACTCCAGTAAAATAGTCAGATTACAATCTCTTCTCAGTGAATCATTTTGATGCATTCTTCCTTCTAATCAATCACAGAGTTTTGAGCTGACAAAATGATTTATTGAATGGGACATGGGCAGCTTCAAAATATGCAAGCCATTTCTAGTAACATCTGCCTTTCCAATCACACTAAAGAGTCTGCACTTTTTTTTTGTATATTTAAAGCAAACAAATCTAACTAACAATTTCCCAAGTAATTTATTTGCAAATATTTAATTCCAACCATTCGATCTGGTCCCCCCCACCCACATGCCCCAATGATATCCCGATGACAGACATCGGGCAATTATTTAAGACTTGTCAGACGGTTTTCTCCGTGACAAATGAAAATTAAACTTCCAGTCTGCCCGTGTTCTCCCTTCATTTTAGTACAACTTTGGACTTTTATAAATAAATACACAGGCTCAGGAGTGTGTGCCCCAGGATTTTGTAGCTACTGTTTGGTGACCACACCTGCCAGGTTATCAGTTCAGGTATGATACCCCAAGAATCCGGAGGGCGACCCCTTTTCTTTTATTTGGAAGAGAAAACCAGAAGGGCATACTCATTTCGAAACATTAAAAAGACAAACATCCTAGGATTAATCCTGATGGAACTATATTGTGTACAGACTGGTATTAAAAGATTTCAAACCCTTCTGAATAGTCCTCCACCATCTGACAACACAAAACTGGGATTTCGTTCACACACAAGTTTGAACAGAAATGTCTTCACTGATCATTTCCCAGCCAGTTAATATTTTCATTTTGTTTACCCACTTTTATTCTAATTTTTGGAGACGAGAGCAGACTCAGCCTTTGGAATCCTGAAATTTATGCTAGTGATGCACAACCTTTCACACCCTTCATCCATTGCCTTAGTTTTCTCCTTGCTCCATAACAAATTCGTACAAATTGAGCAGCTTAAATAACGTCCACTTCTCTCAGCGTCTGTGGGCCAGGGCTGCAGACTGGGCTGTGTTTTCTATTGAGACTGTAGGAGGCTGGAAACCCAGTTTCTTGCAGCTCTAGGTGCCTGTGTCCCCTTGACGACTTAACCAGGGACTGATCTGGGCTCTTAGAAAGCTCTGAGTTTCTCGGTGGCCCCTTCATCCCAGCCAGAGAAACCTCTGCTTTGAAAGGGCTCTGAGGATTAGATTAGACACACCTGGATAAACTGACTTTTAATTAACTCAGAGTCAACTGCTTGGTAACCTTAATTATACCAGCAAAATTCATCTTGCCAGGTAATTTAACATAATCAAGTGTGGGATGTTTTATCAGATTTTCAGTCCCAGAGACTGGGCTGAAAACCTGGGGTGTTGTCTTAAGTTCTGCCTCTGACCATTACATTCATTCTCACTATAAAATATTGACTGATTATATTTGTCAAATTTTGATGCCAATTTTATCCTAATTTCATTGAAAACATTTTTGAATTAAGTAACAGCACATGAAAATTTAATTTGAAAATTTAGATGAATAATTTACTAAACGCTCGAGTTTTATTCCCACAAGACTTTAATCATTAATTATCTTCATTTGTACACTTTATAAGCCTTGTGACTTCTCTCATTTTTTTCTTTGTCTTAACAATTTTGACAATTTCCCCTAATAGTGGCTGAGTAACATCACACAGTAATGGAAATCAAGAGACAGAGTTCTGGCTTCAGCTCTGTTATTAACTGGACAAATATTTGGGCAAGTCAGTTATAGATTCATCCAGTGTTTGTCTTGGAAGTAATTTAATATTAAATCTGCACCCCCCAAAATATCCCTTATTTTGTTATCACACAAAATCCCTGCAAACTTTGCTTGGGTTCCTCCTGTGGCGTTACTTTTGATTGTTGGGTAGCTCATTATTAAAACAAAAACAAAGAACTTTCCCAGGTGGAACCCAAAATTCTATTTCTTTACTGTCAAGTGTTAAGATAAATGCTAGTACAAAATCTTGCAGATTAAACCTACTTTCTTATTCCTGTCATATGACAAACGGCATGTTTGGAATTTTTCTGCATGGAAACCAGTTCATTTTTTCCAGAATTTTTCACAGAATGAAGGTTCAGTTGCTTGGCACCGAGTATCCACCTGGATACACATAGGCCCCAGTAATCAAGGAACGGGCACCCAATAACTACATGCGTTGACCCTCCAGCATTCTCCCCGGGTGGCTCTCTTCTGGACCAGGTTACCGGCTGGTCACCCTCACCCCCTTCCCTAGACGGGTGCTCAATAGCTGCTTACAGAGGCATATCCCCCCCACCCCATGTGTTAGCCCATCTAGACCTTGTCATCATCGGCGACTTATCACCCTGATAAGCGAGCTCAATCGTGACTGATTTCCAACCTTCATTCTGACCCTAGTGTTTCAAATTCTAGGATCTGAATTAACCTGTAATTCACATTGAATTACAGGTGATCATCCATATTACTATTCTCAAACGAAGGGAGGATTAGCTATTATATTTTCTATTTGTCCAAAGACTTGAAGTAATACATACTTTGAATGAATCTTATTAGAACCTACATGGGCACCGTGGCCCTCTCCTGCCAGGGGTCAGTCGCAGGTGGGTTCACATCCCACCACGTGCCGCTCCCGATCTGTCTTGGGCTTCCAAGGTCTGTTCTCCTGCGCTGCTAGGAACCCCATGAAAACAGAAAGCCCACGTAGGCAGTAATTTCCAGTTCGGCTTCACTTCACAGAGAGGCAAAGGCACTTCCTTCCTTTCCTCTAACCTTTAATTTAACAGAGAAAACCTGTCACAATAGAACATCTTTGTCCCGCTCTGCAGGGGCCTCCCTTGGTCACAGAGTGCCCGATGTGGTAACACCCAGGGGCGCTGGGTCTTGCTGTTCTGGGACTGGACAAAAGGCAGCCTAGTGACCAGCTGGAAGAAAACGGGGCGTGCTCACACCCCAGCCAACCCGTCTTCCACATGGCCACGGCATTGCCGTGTGGCCCCAGGAGGAGGGGTTGCCTGTTTCCTGCAGAGCACTTTCACTCACAGCATGCGCACGTCGGGGAACCCACGGACGATGAGAAGAGAGCACAGTGCCCGCCACGTGGCTCTGGGCCAGCAGTGCGGGGATATTTCCACTTTAGTCACCAATAGTCTGATTCTTTTAAGGAGGTGGAATATCCTGTTGTCTTCACGATGCAATCAATCCCTTCAGAGATGTGTTCAGATACACAGAGACCCACTGGGGTGAAACGAGGACCTTGACCTTGGTCCCTCAACCCCTGGGGCTGGGAGTTTGGGGAAAGCAAGCCTTGCCTCACCCTAGGTGCACACCCCAGAGACACACCAAGGCCAGAGCGAGGAAGGAGACCAGCCAGCACCCCCAGGGACGAGGACCCACCACCCCTCCGCTCCCCACCCTGACATCTCCATCCATCTGCCCCATCCCAGCCTCAGTGGCCCCGACGGCTGTCCCGACGTCCTACTGGAGTCTTCCCCCTGTGGGGTCAGCCCCTCTGTACCTGCTTTTCAGAACACTGATCTGACCCCCCACTTTCGTCGTCCCTCTCTCCCACGTGCCCCCACGCACTCAGGGGGAGCCCCGGGCACTCAGGGGCTGACAGGGCTCTTCGGCATCATGCCTCACTGGCCATGTCCACAGCGGTGCTTTTACGTGAACGCGTGTAATTAACTCCTGAAAAGGCATATTCCAATGTGACCCCAAGACCTCAGACCCCTGGAGAGGTCCCCCCTCTTCTCCTGACACATCCATGTCTCATTAGGATTCGGGGGGATCCTGGCGGCCATTTCATCCCACCTTAGACTCACCTGACGTGGCCGGTGTGGTCTTTCCCTTCAGCCGACCACACCCTACAAACACCTCAACGATTGTGGCTCGTACCGTGGATTATCTTGTCACGTGGTCCACTAAGAATTGAACTAGAAACATGCTACCAGGGGCTGCCATCCTTCTTCATCTCGCCAGCAGAGTGCTTGAGTTTACAGAGCTACTGGAGCTATTAAATAATGGATGGGATCAACCTCAATCCACAGCCGACTAGAAACGTGCTCCGTGAGTGCTCGCGGGGCCTGCTCCAGACGGAGGCCCGACCACGGGGGGAGGGGCGAAGCCACACCCGGGGCCCTGCACTGTGGTGTGACCCCCGGCAGAAACCACTGGCCCCCAAGATTTCTTAAGAAATGCCCACAGGGGATGAGTTTCGTTGTTTTGAAGAAGTGGCTCCAAAAGAGTAGCCTGAGGTGGATCTGGTCTCCAATCTGTTGAATCTAATACGGATGACCCCTCCCTAGCACTAAAGAATCAAGGTCATCAAAACCAAACCTACAAGGGGGGGCTGTCATGAAGAAAACGGGGCCCTGGTGATGCTGGGCTGACATTTTCTCATGAGGAAAATCAAAAGCAGCATAAGGGGCAGTTCAGCTCTGCCTCTCCCCGCACAGGGCGGCCCAGGCTGGCTGCATCTGGGTCCCGGGTCCCCCAACTTTAGCCCAGGTTTATACGCTGGAGACGTGTGATTATGCAAACCCTTTCTCCTGCAGATACGATTTTTGGTTAAAAGGCAAAGAAGCTGCAGAAACTGGGAATAAGGGCATCAGTGGATTCTACTCGGGGCCACAGCTTCAGTGGGACATTTCAATCCATTTTTCCAGAGACGTCGGGCTACATCCGTGCCCCTGGTCCGGGTTCCCAGGCCATCTCCTCAGAGCCCTCTCTGTTTTATCTGTGACATCAAAAGTCTCATTGACCAGGGGAAACCAGCGCCCGCCAGGGACCTTCCCGAGCCGCCCGTGGCGACGAGGCCGTAGGACTGACCTTGGATCGCGGCGGGGCTCGGATGTACCATTTGCAATCCACGGCCTCGCTCGCAGAAGCTTTGCCTTCCTTCATGATCTGAACAGACTCCACAATTCCTTCCGGACCGCCCATCTCAAACTCACAGGCTGGACAACAAAATGCCAAAGAAACATAGAAAAATGGAGCTTGAATAATAAACTAAAAGCATATTTTACAGCAGCAAGCAAAGGCCTCTGAACATTGTTAAATAGCCACTTTACCAACCTGGTAATGGTTTCAAAGCTCCCAGGTCCTTAAAGTCAGGATCTTAAAAATTGAGAAAAAGACAATTAGTCTTATTCTGCATTTATTACTTACAGTGATGCTGAGTGATACATCAGTCACCTGCTCAGGATTCTGCCCTCGTAACCCCATCAGAGGAAAGCAAATGGTTCAATAAAATTACACGAAAATGTGAAGACTGAAATGTTAATTCGTGTATTATTCCTGGATTATTTTTACTGAGCTAATTTCATTTTATAACACTGCATAAATTCCAGAATGTTTATCATTAAAACAAGCCAGGTTTAAAAAGCTTCCTTTGCCGCATCATCAAAAATCTCACTCATTACCTATAACTCCACAATCAGACAGGAGTTTTGTAAAATGTATCCATAAGTAAGTCAAAATTTGGGTAAACGCTCATCTATTCCAGATACAATCATTTTGTCTGATTTAAAGCATTCTGTAAATTGTTGAGACACAATTTTTAACTGAAATTTTGGAAGCACAGAGTGAAGCCACCAAGCCCAGGTCTCCTCTCGCCAGGCAGACTGCACCGTCCTGTTTTCACCAAATCTGCTTCCCTAACCTCATCCCAGGCTAGTTTTCAAAGTATCCTCAGGTCCCTCCTGTCTACTCAACACCCAGTTTTCCTCTCAACTTACCCCCAGCTCTCCGCTCATCTATGTGTTTGGGGGCAAGCCTGATTTACTGCGAGCCTTGAAGGGTTCTGATTGTTAAAAACCTAAAATGGCGGCCTCTTTTGCAATTCCTGGCATTGACTTTTAGGTAAGTCGGCAGCCAGTGTAATATACAGGTAAGCCTGTGGCCATAAAAGTACCAGGGAGAATCACCATGACGATGCTTTCATTTAAGGAAGAGCTTCTGGAGACTTTTTCCTCGATCCAGGGACAAGGCATAGCCAGATCTCCAGGCTACGCAGTGGACACACTTGTATGACCCACTGGGATCGCCTGTGATGCCCAACTTGGGAAGTTACAGAGGCTGACACAGATGTTAGCCCTTGTGGAGAGCAGACGAGAAGCATGGAGGACCTCCAGCCCTCAGTCATGCTGGGGCGGACTAACCCTTTGGGGCTACACTGCTCTGCGCTTTCACTTGGTGAAACAACAGATGCCCCCTTATAGTCTATTACTTGGGAATGGATTGTCTTTTATTTATGGGCAAAGCCATCAACGACTAAGATTTATCTTGGAGACACATGGTATCCAATTTGAAAGATGATGGTGAAATTTAATTTCTTTCCACGACTACGGTATTAGCTATAAACTCTTACGATGTTAAAGGTAATTTGTGAGACACTGTTCACCAATGGTCCAGGGCTGAATGGGAGAGGTGAGTGCTCCTTCTGGGTGAATTAGTTCTGGATGTTGAGCTCGTGTGAGGGCGTGTGTGTGTGTGTGTGTGTGTGTGTCCTCATGGGATTCTCTGCAGTGAACTGCAGCCTCATGCACACTGCCTGTTGTGTGTGCTTATTTCCACCAGATGTGCTTGTTTGTGAAGCAATAGCGTGTGTGATGCAGAGGAAGCTTGCATTAGCAGTGCGACATCTGAGCCCTCAGATGTCCAATAAGAAAGCTAACTTTTGGGCCTCCGTGGTGGCGCAGTGGTTAAGCCTCAGCACTATCAAGCTATCCGCAGCCACTGCAGCCTGAGTTCAGTCCCTGGCCAGGGAGCTACCCACATGGTGCAACAGACCTTGCAGTGTATTTCAGTGGATCTGCCTGTTCTGCTCCCCACTCTGTCTCTGGTGAATCCTCTCACTCCCCGTAACTCTGGCCTGTACCCCAGTTCTTATATGCATAAATAAATAAAATAATTCTACAAGAAAGCTCACTCTCTTATAGGATACTATCAACATGAGGTGATCCATTTTGAATTGAGGTGCAAATTCCTTTGCAAGTTGTTTTGAAAACAAATCTTTTACCTTTGGGGAGATAAAGAAGAAAGAAATACCTATAGACAACTACCGTGAAAGAAGCAGAGATGAGGACACCATCACCAGTGTGGACGAGGATATTTCCTAGTAGAGATTTTTTTCTTCATCTGAATTAATCACTATTTGGTTATTAAGACATGTATAATTAATAGCTACTGTGTGCCCAAAACAGAAGCATGTTTTCTACAGAGTCTCAGATTGGTTCTCACTAGTTTTATTGGGACTGAAGGGACCCATCATATTTTTTCCTTATTTTTATGGCGAGTTTGTCCTCCCCAGTTAGCTGGAGCCTTTATTATTCACTGATTATACTCGCTTTACTTCTCTGTATACGGCTCAAGAGTGCCCATTACTACTAGTCACTGCCTCCCCGGTGATGAGTTTCAGCCTTCCTTGGCTGTCCCTGTGACTAGTGTGGAAATGTGGTCGCGATTCTATTTTCTGGTTTGAAGGCTAACATTTGTCATTTTTATAACTCTCGCCAGACAACGTTGAGAGAAATGCCAGTTCTGAAAATTGAAAATTTATTTTTGACTTTGTATTAATGGTGAGAGCACTTATGGTTACAAAGCAGACACACACACACACACACACACACACTCACACACACACACTCTTTGGGTCAAGTTTCTGCAACTCCATTTGGATCAGTCTCTAGTAATAACCTCAGTCAAGCAATGGATGGTTCACGTGACCTGCCAAAACAAACAAAACACAAACAACAAAATAACTTTTTCCAACAGCCTGTATTGTGTATAAAAAACACGAAGAGTGATTTATGGCCGTAGGTTGTTCCGGGCAACGCCATAAATTAGCAGCGCAATGAAGTCGGATTTCCTAAGCAGTGCAACAGACATCTCCCCAGACCTATTCTCCACTACGCAGCCTGAATAAACTTTAAGAAATGCCAATGTCCACATTTAAGAAATGCAAACCAAGTCCTGAGAGTCACCTGGCTTTCCGTCACCCTTAGAACAAAACTACCACCATTTCAGTGGGCTCTGGCCCCCACGGCACCCTGGGCACCCACAAGCCAGTCCCTACCTTAAGCTCTGTATTTCAGTACCTTCAGCACAAGCTCTATCCATGTGGTCTGAAAGGCAAGAATTCATTTTTTTTAAATATTTATTTATGCATATAAGAGCTAGGGCACGGGCCAGAGACGCGGGGATGGGGGTAGGGGGATAGTGAGGGGATCCACCAGAGACAGAGCGGGGAACAGAACAGGCAGATTGACTGAAACACACTGCTGAGGGGAGCCATGGGGAGACAGGAGAGGTCTGCTGCGCCATGTGGGTTGCTCCCTGGCTGGCTGGGGATCGAACTTGTGCCGCAGAGGCTGCGAACAGTTTCACAGTGTGGTGCTTAACCCTTGCACTACCAGGGAGGCCCCAAGAATTCATCTTTTTTAAAAGCTGAGTAGTACCCCATTGAGTAAAGATACCCAAACTCTTCTATCCCTCATCCAGTGATGGCATTTGGGGTGTTTCCAGGCCTTAGCTATTCGAGCAGCCTGCTATGAACAGGGGGTGCAGGTATCGTTTAGATTAGTTTTCACGGTCTCGGGGAAGGTAATACCTAGGCGAGGTCTTGCTGGGTCATATGGTATTTCCATTTTTAGATTTGTAAGGAAGGCCCATGCTGCTTCCTGACTGTGCCCAGTTACACGGGGCTCCACTTTCAACGCGTCCCTTTCTCTGGCTCTGGCTATTGGGGTCTTTGCAGAAAGCTGGACCTTCCTTGGTCTTCTTTTCTAAACTCAAATGATATTTCCTCGGAAAGGTCTTCCAGAGGACCCGCTCCAAAGTAATAGCATCTCCAGTCCCTCTGATCCCTTCAAGGTTTCTTGGTTCACATGTCACCATTATTTTACTATTTGTTCATTTCCCAGCTGACTGTCTACCTCCTATTACGGTGAATAAAGTGTTAGCTTGTGTTTTCAAGAATGTTCTTAGGCGGCAGGCTTAGAGTGTAAATGATGCGGCTTTCAGAGGCTCACCCAGGTTGTCCCCAGTGATTTTATTGGGCACTTACTCAACAGCTTCCCTTTTCTGGGCTCTACTCCCTGTGTCCTCGCTTTTGTGAAAAGCTCACTTATTCTGGAATGTTGACGCTTTTCTTGATCCTACATGGAAACACAACTAGGATAAGTACATTTTCTGTCTTACTTTATAATTACATACATATGCACATATAGGTAGTTGTAAATGCTTCTAACTCTTAAAATATTTTCTAAAATTATAAGTATTACAGAATTTAATATTGCCACTGAAATAAAGTTCTATTTATGTTTTTCATTTTTCAATTTGAAAATTCGGTCATGCTGATGTACAGCACGGCCCATGTACTGTGGGTATAGGCGCCCTTCTAACACACAGGCCTTTTCTTCCCGCCACCACCATATATTTTTTACTGTGAAGTATGGACATTTATCATAGAGGAAGGTGCCTGAAAGAAAAGACTCACTTCTCCACTATAATTACACTGTTTACTTCTAAAGTTGGAGAAAAGGAGGGCACTGCTATCACAAAAGGCCTTTTATGGAAGGGTGGCACTGATATCACAAGAAGGTCCTTTATGGACAGGAGAAATCTATGATCAATAAAACGGGAAAGCTGCACATAAGAAAGGAAAACACTACCTGCCCGTCAGCTGTCTACATAGGAATCTTTGATTTGTTATTATTTACACAGAAAAATATTTCCTTATAATATTGTGGCAGCTTGTTTGCAACACTCTTTTGAGACAAATAATTGCTAAAATGTACTGAATATTTTAAAGGCAAACATCATTAGCTTTTCCAAAGCTAAAAATCACTCTTTTCACTGCAAAATAAAAATGTAAAGTCGCCTAGACACCTTCGAGAGTGGCTGCGCATCCCTGTCTGGAGAAGGACACGCAAGATGCGCGACTGGCAGAGCCCGGGCAGCGGCCACCACCGCCAGGAGGCCAGTGCAAGGCCAGAGCTGCGTCTCCCAGCACAGACACTCACCCACTTCGCCTTTAACCTTGGGAGACAGAGTTGCTGTATCGCCTGCAGAACTTGACTTTTGTCCAATGCAAGGACGCGCAGACACAGCTGGGC